CGTCAAACTCCTGAATTGGGCATCTGCAGTTTGGTTCTGATTAGCAACCGCCTGCGCCATTGCTTGCATAGCAGCAGCCAACGCAGCATCGTTCCTTCCTGCCATACTGCTAAAAAATAACAACACCAGGTTAAAAGATACTCAACTCTATCCTAAAGGACAGACTCAACTCGACTCAACAACACTGGCCGAACGGACCGACCTGCTCTGATACCAATTGTAACACCCCACTTCCCAAAAACAATTAAAATAATAAACATTATACATAAACATCAGAGTTTTTCTTCCCAAGTGGGATATCACATAGCAAAACCAACATTTCCTTATAAAAAGGTTTTTCTCCAAATACAGCGGAATATCAAATAGTAAAATCCAACAAAGGTTTTTGATACGTTCACAGGAATAAAATACAAGTTCAGCATAAAACAAATAAAAACACCCAAGTCCCGTGCTACGTATCAGAGCATCCTAGACTCGACTGGCACACCATAATCCAAGCTAGCTAAGTACCTGGATTATCTGTACTTCCGAAGAAGCACATACCACAACAACAACAAAGGGGTGAGAAAACATGATCAAAAATATATTGGTAATGTAATACATGTAAACAAGGTAGTAAAACACACCAACACCCCAATATTCACCCCACAACACCAATCACGAACCTACTGTTCAAATTACAATATAACATATTATAATGCAAATATGCAACTCAACACCATGCATGCGGTACCGACTCATTGGTTCATTCAATCGAACCTGGACAGATCACTTACGCTCCTACTGAGATATGATCTATCCCCGACATATCACTTACGCTCCTACTGAGATATGATCTATCCCCCACCATTCTCCTCAAAGGAGTACGGATGAATCACTTACGCTCCTACTGAGATATGATTCATCCCACCAAACACCATGATATGCAAGACACCAATGCATAACTATTATATTCAGGCACACTAAGTGCACACGATCCTCCTGATCACATCACCACATATTATATATATTACACCACCAATAAACACAAGCACACTAAGTGCACAATAATTAAACTCAAGTAAATAATCAATAAATCATTTCAATCGATCCATGGTTTAGTTACTATTTAATTAAACAATGACTCCCCAAAAATATTGGATATAAAAATATTTGGCAAATAACTATATTATTTATACCATGTTATAGATCTATTCAAGAGCTTTCCAACGCTTCGAACGTGGACTAAATCCGACTTACGGATCAAAAGTTATGGCCAAAATCGTCAAAACAGAAAATTCACCAATATACAGCTTTGAGTCGACGCAAACAGCGCATAATGCAGAAAATTCTGTGTTTTCCATCGTTGGAGGCCTTCCGGACCTCCGATTTCAATTCCGTAAAAAACCCCGGTTTCAGAATTCGAAATCCTACCATAATATGACAATTATAACAGCCAACAACATATTTTTAAAGATCATGTCATCATATATCATATAACCATACTTTTCAAAACCATGGCATTTAGGGGTTTCTATCCTAAATGTGATCCTACCCATCATACACTATTACACAATCACAATGACCATACGAAAACCCACCCTTACTGTCCAACACTGTCATCTTGCTCAATTCCAAGCTTATCACTCTTCATCCATCCTCTGCCCTATCATTACTACAACTATCACACACTACTCTAATCAATTGTTCCTTAAACTACATCTCAGAACCTATATCATGGTTATTACCCAAGCCACAAAGGTTACACAAAATCTCACCAATACTCATGGTCATTATCCAAACCACAGAGGTTATATAGGAACTTCCCTAAAAACCGTAAAACAACCTATATGCCAATTTACCAAAAACAACAATTCATGAACCATCAACACCAAATTATCAACGATAATCAACAATCACAATATATCAATATAGGAAATCATATATCGATCAATTTCCTGCGGGGTTAAGGAATTCCCACTACCCTATACATGTATAAACCATTCCCAATCAAGTTTCTCCCCCCTTACCTTGTTAATCGGTTTGATCGATGGAAATCCTCCTAGATTTGGTCTCTTGGCTTTCTCCTTTCTCTTCCGTTCCTCGTTCCTTTGCTCGTTCTATGCTCTTCTCACTTCTCTCGTTCTTTCTCCCAACTCTCCAAATGTATCGTAAAAACCACTAACCCCTCACATTCCCTATTTTAATTATCTAATCTTAATAATAATAATAATAACTTAATAAAATAATATAACAATAATAATCTTAATAGTAATACTAATATAATATTACTAATATAAATAATAACACTTATTATTAATAATAATAATAATAATAATATTATTATTAACTCACCAAAAGTCATAATAATATTAATAATGATAACAAATATAATAATAATAATAATAATAATAATAATAATAATAATATCACCACCAATATTACTATTATTTATTATATTATTATATCCACACCAAAACACCACCAATAATCCTCCCATATCAGGGACACTCACCAATCATCATCCAACACACCCCACCAAAGGGCACACCAACACATAATAATTAAAATTATAATAAAATGACTAAATAATTAAAATGGGTGTTACAAAGTGCATATCCATAAAAGATAAGAATGCTACTCTCTTTTAATTGATAATCTTCTAATTGACTTTTCATCCAGAGAATCTGTATGCTACAACCCGTTGTTGCAATGTACTTTACTTCTGCTGTTGATAATGCAATAGTTTTTTTTCTTTTGCTGGACCACGAGATTAGATTTTTACTTAGAAACTAACAACATCCGCTGGTGCTTTTTCTTTCAAGTCTATCTCCAGCAAAATCAACATCACAATAACCTACTAACTTGTAATCATCTGATTTTTAGCACGACCACTTAGAAAAATCCCTTCCTCACAATTAAGTCTTCTCTTACTAGCTCTAAGGCAATATAAAGTGAAAAAAATATATATTTTTTTAGAAAGAGAGAGAAATATGAAAACGTTTGAAAGTGACGTGATTTGAAGTGGAAACGTACCTCCTTTATATAGTAGTTGGAAAAATAAAAAATAGAAATTATCCATGGCCCGAATTAATTATCTAATAAATTATCATAAATCACAATTTGATTTGACAACTCGATTTTAATCAATTACCATGCCCAGAAAGGAAGTTTTTGATATATATGTGTTGCAAGTCATTAATGTGTTGTCTTGGCCATTTGATTAATCAATTATAACTTTTCTAATTGATTATCTTGACGCTCTAATCATTTATATGACTCAAAAAGAGTTTTTCTAATCGACTAACATAATTATTTAATCGATTGTTTTGTTGAAAAAACGTTTGGAAAACTTTTTAGTCACTTGTCTTGACTTAGAAAATAATTTTTAAGTTTAAACACATTTGAGAAAATATCTTTAGGCGTGTGTGTGAGTCTCCTTAGTACTTTCAAGCCACTACCTTACTTTTGCCATACTTGGGTTACGTAGACAGACAAACAAACATGACCTGGTGAGCATTCACACCTTTCTTCAAGACTTTTGCTAGATAGATTACGATTTGTACAGACACTTGATCTTAATTCATTTTGTTGATGAGTCATATGATACTTTCTTTGGTTATCATCATCAAGATTGAAAGTTATTGTCATTCATTGTCGTCATAAAAACTTCAGATGCAGAGCTTCATAACTCGCAAGCACATAGATCCACATGCTCCTCCCTTTTTTATGATGATAACACATATCTCAAGGGAGGTGGCAAAAGAAAAAACACATATGTTTGAAATAGTTAAGCCCCCAACACTTATAACCACTCCCGATATTTCGAGGAACCACGAGATTTCTAACAATTCAACCTTAAAATGTTAATTGAGAATTTTATTGCGACGCAAACTCGCTCTAACATGAAATCTATGTTGGAGAGGTTTGTGGAGACACAAACTCGCCATAATGAAAACTTTAGAAACCAAGATCTCCATGCTAGTGACAATGTTTTAATGATAGGTAACGACTCTCTATCAAATATTTTCAAAATAGGTTCAAATAATCTATTATTTAGGTCATCTAATCGATTGGAATAAAAACCAAATCGATTAGGCAATTAATTTTGTTCATGAATCATTTCTTTTTAGAATCATCCTTTGGCCTATAAATAAAGACATTCCCTTTAATTTTTTCACATCTAAAAATGTGAGATTTTCCACCCCTTTTCTTATAAATTTAGTCATAATGTTTTGAGAAAGGTTCATGTGTTTAAGTGAGGAGGATGTTCTAGAAAGGGTAATATTATAAATTTACCAAGATTTATTTTTCCTCCTTAGTAAATCTTTCTTCCTTAGGAAGTGTTTACATGCGTTTGGAGTTAAACTCCTTAAAAACTCTTTTGAAAAATTTAGTGTCAAGTCTCCATTTGATTTGTGAGTTCTGTTACATAAGGAAAATCTCTCCATTTAAGTTCATGAAGAATAACCAGAGAAATTTTTTCATAATGATTCATATCATTTCAGTAAAAAATTTCTCTCAATTTTAGAGTTCAATGAAAAATCTTTATAGTGGTTCAATATGATCCCTCTCCACTGCATCCAAATCTTAAACTACCTTATCGGGTTCATTTATTTAGTAAACTTTTATTACTACCTCTATTTTTTATTATAAGCTATTTTAAAAAAATATTTTGTACTACAATATAAGTCGCTTTATAATACGAATGAAGTATTAATGTAATTTTTTCTATTAAATATTTATTATTCTCTTATTATTTAAGGACAATTTTATAAATCACGGATAAAGTATTAATGTAATTTTAGAATCTTCATTTGCTTGATGCGTAAGAAAAAATGAGGTAGAAACACGAAACGAGGGGGTGTCACGTGTACATTACGCGTCACTCAACCACGCATCTGTTCACTTCTAAAACTACAAAAACGGGACCCTATAAATACAAAAAGAAGAAAAATAGCAATAACTCTCACCGTCTGAAAACCAAACCAAGAAAACCAAGCAGTTCAAGATCTGAAAAAATGGCGTTAGAATGGGTGGTGCTCGGGTACGCCGCCGCCGCAGAAGCGATAATGGTGCTTCTTCTCACCATCCCCGGCCTCGACGCTCTCCGTAAAGGTCTAGTCGCTGTCACCAAGAACCTTCTGAAACCGTTTCTCTCGGTGGTTCCGTTTTGCCTCTTTCTTCTCATGGACATTTACTGGAAGTACGAAACAAGGCCAAGCTGTGAAGCCGATTCTTGCACTCCGACGGAGCATCTCCGTCATCAGAAATCGATTATGAAGAGTCAGCGTAACGCGCTTCTCATCGCCGCCGCGCTTTTGTTCTACTGGCTTCTGTATTCCGTTACACATCTCGTTGTTAAGATCGATCTTCTCAACCAGCGTCTCGAGCGTCTCAAGAGGACTGAATGAATCACTGGTTAAGATAAGTCTATCGAATTTGCGTTGGTTGCTGTTTTTTTGTTCTTATTATCTTAGTAAGCCACAGTTTACAATTTCTATCCGTTTTCCTTTGTTTCTCATGTAGATCTACTATGTTTGAATGATTACGAAACGATTTGATCGTAGATTTATAATTTCTATGCGATTTCAACTTGAACTACTTTGATTGAAAATTAGGGTTTATTTTAGGGATTTTCTGATGGCTGTGATGATCTGTTATATTAATACAATTATATTGATACAATTGATAGATGTTAAGTGAAATTCTTGCTTAACAAGATGATTTACAATGGTTGATTCAATTCTTGTTTGAGGAATTGTGATTAACTTGTTATTGTTTCCTTTTAAATGTAATGTGAATTGTGAAACCCTGGCGAGTTCTAGTTGCAAGAGTTTAACATATATTGGTTAGGTTAATTGGAACATTACTGACATGATGATTTGAGAATTTCCGATTTCCCAAAGCTTAATTAGAGGCTAAATCCGTTATTTGTTAGGTTTTCTGGTGCCATAGTTTTTCTATCAAGAACTATACAAAGAAAGCCTAATGGAAGTATATACTTTTTTTACACATCATTGTAGCTATGGGATTTATCTACATTATCATTATGATATTCAGTTCTACAAACAAATTTCAATTAATTAGTAAAATAACAAATTTCAATTAATTAGTAAAATTTTAGTGATAGAAATGCTAATGAAATGTAGTCTCTTAAATACTCTTCTAGTGTGTTTTCATTCAAGTAGTGCTTTTGGTTATTAATTCTCCTAGTTCTTGTGTCGAATTAGGGGCCAGTAAAGTTTAGAGTTGCAAAATCCAAAATTGTTATATCAGCAAATGCATGAATTGTTATGATATATCCACTTTTGATTCATTGATCAATTGTATCATAGTATTCTAGAGGTTCTATCATTATGATACTATAATTTTCTGATTCTCTTATATAGCAAATCTTTGGATTACAGTTCTGGTTTGATTTGATTCATTTCTCTAACTTTTGGAGATTGGATTGTATTGGCTTCATATTATAGTTTCCCCTTCTTTTTTTTTCTCCTTTTATTTTCTTTATGTGATGACTCATGGCATATTCAATGCGTGAAGAGTGAGACAATTGCTTTGTGCTGTTGGTTGTAATACTTGGCGTTATACTTTGGTTCTTGGCTAGCTACTATCACTGATGGGGTGCATAATCCGGTCAGAAAGAACAATATTTTTCAGAATGCAATAAAATAGTGAACTCTGATATGCATGTTTTATATGATAATATGAAGATAGCATACTGACTTCAGCAATCAAATTTAGTTGATTAAGCTTGCAACATAGTTGCCTATGCCTTTGTAGGAGTACAATTTTTTTGTGTGTAGTAAGTGGATGTCTTGCTTAAAGACCCACATTCTTGGAAAATTAGGAATAATACAACCCATGCGGCAGTTTTTTGTTTTCTGTTTTACATACATGATACAACTAAAATCTTAAAAGGTTTAGCGACGAATTCATTTCATCGAAGTGTTGAATACAACTTATAACTCCTTTTCGAGCAGAAACCAATAATTGGCCAGTCAATCAATTTAGTGTACGGGAATTTTTTGATCTATTAAACTAAATTTGTCAAAAGCCTGGCATCTCCGTCCCAACAACTTATGAGCACATTTAATACCATTGTGATACCGCAAGTACTAAGAAGCCCCATGCACCTGCAAATACTAACCAAGCAAGACCAAGTTATCAGATCTGATAAATTTGACAGATTGCAATTGTGCACGGAAAATGTATTTCTTGTTCCTTTGGCAGGTCATTCTGGACACATGAAACTTACTTTTCTGCAGATTACAGTCTTTCTGATAATCTTTCAGCGTATAATTTTGCCAATTGGCATTATTTTGTTTCCTTGAATCAAATGGACCAAATTAAATTAAAATAAGTTAGTATAATTTATAGATTAAATATTTAAAGATATTAAAGTTATATTATCACTGTTGTTTTTGTAATTTCAGTTCATTGAATAATCAAACGGGTCGGGTCTGGTTTTATAAATTGGTTAAATATATTAATTATTTAATAAATTTAAAAAATAAACTGACCTATAATCTTGATTCGGTGGATGCATGGTTGAGCCTACATATTCCTCTTGATTGGGTCGATGCATGGTTGAGCCTAAATATTTCCAAAATAGTCTTTTCCAAGTCTTAATAAGACGTATATTAATTGGGAAGTCCCTCTGTTATGATATTGGATCATTATGAGGAATAAGAGAAACAAACACATTAAATATTTTTTATCGACTTAGGGATTCATGGTTGTCTTTGAGGGTGTGTAAGGCGACTTACAGAACATGACTTCACACTTTTTTATGATTAAGATATGGTTAAAAGGCTTATGATTAAGATATGGTTAAAAGAGCCTTCAAAAATATATTCAACAGTTAATTTACAATTGAATAGGAGCCTCATAAAAAATTTTTAGGACTAAACAAAAGCAAACTTAAATTTCTTAAACAAGACTTTTCATAAGTTTGAGACGACTGAGGACGTATTTCTCTAAGATTTTCTTTAGGGAATTATGCTTTTTTTAGGTATCCTTTACCTTGAGCTTGCTTCATACTTTGAGCTTGCTTCGTATTTTCATTAATATGACCAACACAAATGAATATACTATATTGTATTTCTAAAATAAGTTGGGATCGTACCAGACCAGAAGGGGATCAATGATTTGCTACGCGTCGTTGATTTGAAAGCTGCTCACCAAAGTGTTGAAGAGGAGGGGGTGTACTTGAAACACATTTCGATGTCAAAGTAAGTGACGAGCAGAGTGGAAGCAAATACAGAGAGAGTAAGAAGATTAAGTTACCTAACCCTCTAGTGAAGAGGGTATTTATAGTGAGCTCTAGCGCAGGGCCAACGGTTACCTAGTACTGGGCTGGGCTGCCAGACCCAATGCTAGTAACTGCTAGGGCTGATGTGGCGTCGTGAATACCAACATGTGATATTCGCCCTAAAGTAACTGTTCCGCCCTATCCGGGAGGAGGAAGACCAAATCCCCAGGACGTGGGTAGTTACCTTACGACGTGTCCCTGCGTGAGGGACACGTGGAGAACGTGGGAGAATGCCCGAGGAGTTCCCTGGCAAGCCAGAGGTGGCTGGTCGGATGCGAGGGTCCTGCCCGACGATGGAGAAGAATGAGGCTGGCTGGTCGGATGCGAGGGTCCTGCCCGACTGCTGTTGGTCTATGCCCGTCGGAGAGATGTGGTGCCCGACGGGGATCCTGCTCGTCAGCGTGATATTCTTGGGCCTAATCCCGTTGGGCTTGGGCCTGCTTGGTGGTGGTCTAAGCGTCGGCCCAGTCCAGAACAAGTTGTTATTAAGCCAAGGGATACTAAAGATCTATAGTTGTAGTTAAATTTGATTAGAAACATGCTGGACTATTTGATGAGGTATTTAAGATAATCTCATACTTCCACTAATATGACCAACACAAACGAATATATTATATTGTATCCCTAAAATAAGTTATTATTAAGCCAAAGGATACTGAAGATCTATAGTTGTAGTTGAATTTGATTAGGAACGCAGTGGACTATTTGATGAGGTATTTAAGATAATTGTTAATGTATATTGGATAAGTGTGTGATATGTGATTGGAATAAAAACATGGTTATATGAAGAAACTGTTTATGTTAATGGTATATTGTGAAGCCTATTCAATTATTTTTGGGTTGCTCTTTCCATCCTTAAGGATACTTCTCATTACTATAAAGAGTCACATTGTCCCCTGTGTTTGGAGAAGCATCTTCGAACGCACTTAAAATTATATCAATAAAGACGTTGCAAGTAGACACATTTATTTTATTTAAAAAAATATTTGAATATGCATTTCTTGATTATAGAAATGTATCTTCGTAAAATATTAGAGTGGTATTCGCAAAACAATGTTCCATACAATTACAATTATACAAGAATGTGCGTGTGAAGATAACATGACACCTATAGGGCATGAAGTATCAAAATATAAATCATCATAAGACAAATATTTGTTGGAATTCAACCACGACTTATGGTAGATTCTTCTCAATCTTGATCTCAAGATTGTTATGTAATGACAATGAATACAAACAAGAACATGTTTAAAGAAGATGAGTATAAAATGTAAAGTAACTTTCTGCCCACAACTGTGGAATTTTATTATCATTTTGCAACTGCAAAGTCGTGATTATCATCAAATTTGATTTATTTCAATGATAAGGGTTCCTCCATATTTATAGATTTAAGTTAACTTGCATCTCAGGCTAAAGCCCAAACTATAAAAGCCCAAAAATATCTAATCTAATCTTTCTAAATCATATATGATCTTTCTAAATTAAATCTAATATTTTTAAAATAATGAATTACATATTTAACATAGCCCCTAATTCATTGTGCCAAAACTATCTACATTCATCATAGACCTTAACTTCTTGAACACTTCGACTAACACTCCCTTCGTCATGATGTCTGCAAGCTGATTCTCAATTCTGCAGGGTTCCAAGTTCATCTTTCTTTCTGCTACCTGTTCTTGAAGATAATGGAACCTCATTTCGATGTGCTTGCTTCGACCGTGTGCTATTGAATTCTTCGCCAAGTTGATAGCTGACATGTTGTTGATCTTCATGGTAATTGCTCCATGAATCTTCCCTGTAATCTCTTCGACCAGGTTCACCATCCATGTTGCTTGACATGCACAAAGAGAAACAACTATATATTCTGCTTCACATGATGATAATGCCACTACTGACTCCTTTCTCGAACTCCAAGCAACTGGTGCACCACCTAACATAAACACATAGCCAGCTGTGGATTTTCTATCCTCAACATCATTACACCAACTTAAGAAAGTGTATCCCACTAACTTGCATTCTTTTCCTTCACCAGTTGCAGGAAACAAAATGTTGTAGTCGAGAGTTTCTTTCAGATATCTTAGTATCCTCTTCGTTGTT